AGAACTTGTTATTCAACAATATGGAATATTATGTGGGGATTTTTAAACTGCAAATATGCTGTTGACATTACGTGAAAAAAATGTTAAGCCCGATTGACGAGCACAATAATCTATTCACATGACTACTTACATAGACAAGTATTTTTTGTCATAATTTTAAACTGCTCAACTACAAAGAATGTACAGGTAAAAACAATTAACGCTTTTAATGGATTAGCAAAATAATTCAATTGACAATCTTGCATTTATTTATGACACCATTATTCAGATAAAACTAAACAATTCTTTTCTACTAAGAATTACTGTTTGGAAAAGAACCCAATCATAAATAGTATTTGCTACTTTATGAGTAAAATGAAGTTGGTATCTTTTTTTAAAGTTAACGTTTTGATCAAAACTAGGATGGAACAGTCAGACAGAATTGTTTTTTTATTAGAATAGTTGAGATCATAAGTGAATTGAAGCTAGAGCACCATAAAAAACCTGTTAATGTCTAACTTCAAGTAATCCACGAAATTTTTATAAATCTCAATTGATTATATTGCTTAATCACTAAGGCTTTATTAGAATTCATCAATGTTGGTTTAGTTGACCTTTCCTATAGAAATGGTGTCGTTGTACTAGTAAGCTGGTAGCCGTATATTTGATGAAGCTTACAAAGCGTTTACGAATACGTAGGCGCTAATCACATAATGACTATTAATCTTAAATGAATTTTGATGGTTTCATCACTTGACCTTGGCCATGGAAATAAGGAGTTGAAACAAAAGAATTCAAATCAAATTGTGAGTGGCCCTGAAAAGGGCCTTTACTCGTTATTTTAACAGTTCCGAACTTCATGAACAAAAGAGTTACTATGACACCGTTATAAAGCTGCACATGGAACAGTGGATTCCATGGACGTGTGGTGATGGGTCGTAAGCACAAAATAAATGAAGCATTGCTTCGTATGGACAAAAAATCCAGGCACTTCCACCAGCAGTTTCATGTGGTGGTTGCGCAAGATTGCAAATATCATAAAGTCTGTTGTCATACACGTCTTCATCATTGTCGTCGTCTCGTTCAGTGAACTCCTCTGAGCTAATCTAACCAATTTCTTCCTCGTCATTGCTTAACGTTGCATCCATATTGATGTTATTTTGATAGTCGGTAACTTACAAAATACGAAGGAAAGACATTGAGTGTTCAAGGTAGTCCTTAATGAAAAATTATAACAACACTAATCGAATTACCTCGTTCGTCTACTCGGTTGTGAGGAACCGCTAGGTGTTCTACGACCATTTCTCCAACATACGAATCTAATATACGACTTCCGATATGTATGAAAATGAGAATCCCTCACCACATAATGGCAGTACGTGGCTCTTTCATACGTTCTAATGGCGCTCTTTAACGCTTCAAGAGATTGGAACACTACGAGATACAATGTGCTCCAGAATAGGTTATCGGTTTCCGTGACAACGTGAGGAACGACAGAGCTCGTGGAAGATGGGAATGAAAATTTTTTTCAAAAGGGATGGAAAGAATTTCACTCGAAAAAATACAAAAATGGCCGTGCAGTAAATGTTTACCCCGGCATTATAAACAACTGTACAGTGTGTCCTTAGCATCTCAGGGCCATTTAACTTAAGGACCAACGTTTAATTCTTCCAAGCAAACACTGAAACTAGTGTTAGACTCTAGATACTTTCATATGTTGACATCTGCATGATAACGACAATCACACACTAGTTCTATGAACTGAATTTCACCTCGAATGCCTAGTAGTTTTAACCCCTCTAAATCGAGTCTCATTTCCAAATGTCTTTCATAAGCAAGATCTTATTTAACTTGAACTTTGGAAAACTAAATTCACTAGAGCTTGAACTATGAGCATTTACGTTATCATCACATTTATGGACATCAGAATCATACGAACGTTTATAAGTGCATCACTCGAAAAATGCCTGAAAGGATTCGTGAAATACGATAAAATTTCTGAAGACTAGTCTGATTCTTTATCTATCAAATGCTGCATACAATGTTCTAAACATTCTGCACCGTGACATATTCTACGTAAATACTAACCGAACATAAGGAAAAAGATGTCAGCAAACGGTCCAGGCAGATATGAAGCAACAACTCAAGAAAACTCCTTGATGGGACATTGGTAAATATAGTACAATCCCGCATAGGAAATTTACATGTCAGGGAACGCCCATATATTCCGATTCATATTTTTGCTGTTTATCTTAGTCGTTCCATTGTTGTTCGAAACTGCAATTAATGTAGGTTCATCCTGATGACGATCCCCAAAAAGGACAAAACGCGCGTCCTGAGTTTCACTAATGGCCACTACCCATTTTTGCTTATAATTCATATATTCGTTAAATTGCTTCAGATAGCTCTTCCTGGCCATGATCTTCCGATAAAAATGATATCTAAAGCTTAAACTTAGTTGTAACAGGTGCACTTGATGTCTAAATTCATCTCATAATCGCATCGGCAAACATCCTTTTAGTGTGTGACATAACGAAGATCAAACTGAATTGTATTACAATAAAGCAAATATATTTCCGGCTTCTTTAAGCTGACATAATCAGAAATGTGAGAATCCAGATATTAAAATTCTTTTGAGTTATTTGAAGTATTCTATAGGATTTTAAGGGACAATAGCCACCAACTTTGAAAAATAGTTCACCGATTTTCTGACAGGCCGAATAAACATTTTGGGAAAACACTACCAAAAATTCAAAAATTAACTACGGTCTAAGATTCTTCCTAGCATTTGCCTGAAAACTGTCCGTGTTTAGGGATATGTTCCGAACGTTCTCATAGGCACACAATTTTGGCGAGTAATTTTCACTGACTTCAAGGAAATGCTCCCATTTTTCTATGCAAAACACCGACTGCTGAGATTTTACCTACAATATCTACAGGTTATCCTTTTGGTCAACTCTGAGAATTTGTTGATAATCTAAACAGAGGTCCCATTTTCGAGCAATATACGCGCCTGTCGAAGCCCAAGTGCTTGTTAGTCATTACAGTGAAAATGAGCTTTTTTTATCGCACACCCATCGTCTATTACTGCCTCGCAACTTTTGCTTCCCTGAAACAAATGACATCACCAAGTTAATAAACTTAGTACAAGTAGGCTTTCTTCTAGACACTTTCCATAACTAACATCCTAATTATGTATAACTACAATCAGAAGACTGCTTGCATTGCCAGTGAAAGTCTTAATCACAATACAGAAATCCTGTGTATAGTAAGTTCTATCGCGCATTTACAGTTACAGTTTGTAAAGGAGGGTGAATAATCGCTGACTCAACACAGTCACGTATGTGGTATTCTGTAACGAAAAAAGAAAATTAAGATGTAGGTCCGTGATACCAAGAATCTTTATTAACACATACATGGTTCACATTCCGTATGAATATGGTGATATTGGTTGCCAAAAAGAAATTAGTGTGCCAATGTTGTGTGTAGCTAACTGAATATGTCATGAGCCATACTAACCCACTGGATTGTCACCTAACGTTTTTGAGGTCGACCAGAAATGAAAAAAAGCCATTTAAACCTTTTGCTTTAACCACATGTACACAAAACAATATTTTTTCTGATTTATAATTACATTTTCTCCCGGTTTCTGCCTTTGTACTTTATGTCTGCAATCATGCAGGTTACAAACCTCCAAATATGTGTATTCTGTCCACTGAGAACATTTAAGTATCGTTAAACAGTCATACCCATTTGTTCTGTTCGTCGTCCTTTTTTCTTCTTTTTAGCATCACGCCTAATGCAAACAGTTACCGAGCTTTTATCATTGCTTGGATCAGGCGACTTACCTATACTTTTGACATGTTTTCTCTTGAAGTCGCTTGGACTACCTCATCCGACAGCGAATTCCATATTTGACTACTTGTAAAGAGTAGAATGTGTGCTTACAGTTCATTTTATTATGTTTTGTCTCTGATTTCTGTGTGTAACCTCTGAAGTTTGTGTTGATGCTGAGCTTGGGCAAATTTTTAAGGGGATGTCCCGGAGCATTTAGGATACTTTGACTCAGTGGTCACCTTTGAGAAGCCTATACTCTTATGGGTAAGGATTCAGTTATTTGGAGTGCTTTTCATTACGTTCGATTTGGGGTCTCCGAACCGATTTCCTGGACTAGAATTCAGACATTTTGAGGAACGCCCTTAGTCACTGGATCTTTATTCTTGAGAAAAGGCGACTCAAAGGCGATCTTTCAATAACTTACAGCAACTCAAATAATCGTAGATCACCATCGTAGATGGTTTGTTTCGAATAATTGGGGGCCTACTCAAGTTAAACGACGATGGTGTGACCAACTAGATAACTTCAAAGTCCCACATCATGGTTAATGAGCAAAGCGGACTTATTTTTTGTCGTATCCAGGTGCTATGGCTGCTTTGGTGACCATACAGCACAAATGACTTTATTACAGAAATCTATTAGTTAGAGTTGGTACAAGAAAGAGTGCAACCGCTATTGCATGGACCAGACCATTGTGCGCAATGAACTGATTCGCGTTGGTTTTTACTGACCATTACGAAAATCGGTGGACTAATTGACATTCAGTGACTTGATTGGTGGATGATTTGGCTAGGGACCAATGACATTGCACTACCCCTACACAATCTTAGGAACTTTCTAGAGGACCTAATTAAGTCCGATTCCAACACAAACCTTAGGGAAATACGAGAAGAATGGAGATACAGTACTGTTAACTGGACTTTGGGAACATATACTTTTCACGACTGGCCAACTCTTAGAATTCAATGCCAGCCGAAGTACTCAAAGCAAAATCCCTGTTGTCTCAAAGGAGGAAACTTGGTATTTTCTTGAGGACTCAGAAAACTATTTCAAACCTATTGAACAATATTTCTAATAACCCTATTTGTTTTATGTATCTAGGCCGTTACCTGAAGGAATTGGTGATTCACTACTACTGGACACGGAAGCTCGTCAACCATTTGAATCACCTCACGTTTTGATGTATTTGGCTACATGTTTATCAAAACCAGATATTAATTTCCACTACACATGAAAAATCTTTAATCGAGAGACTTTGGTTTTCTACTCAAATAGTTAAAATTACTTCAGTGTAGAAATCTTTCTGTCGTGTTTTTTGGTACTGTACGTTACACTCACTTGACCTTGCGGGTCTTCTTGACGTGTTGAGTCGTAAGAGTGTTAGGTTTCGCTGCGAAATTATGGAAGCTTGTGCAGCAATTATGAGAGAAAATGTAGATTTGAGTTCACAACTGAATGAGCAAGACTTTCCTGCCCTCCCAAAAGCGGGGTTATCTCGTCCTGTCAAAGCTTTAGGTGCATTAATACCTTCCTACCAAGCCAAAACTACGGAAGTATGATTATGTCTGTCTAGTAACATTGTTAGGTCTTGGAAATACCCTTTGAGGAGAGACGGTTCGTTAATAATGAAGACGATAATCTTTCAACCGGTAGAAGATACAATGTTCAGAGCAAAATCTGTATGGAAATAGCAAGAGATACAAATGTTGAAATGAATTTGAACAGCTCCAAAAATCATATTCTGACGGTCGTTATCTCAGGAGAGCCAAGCAGAGTGGCTGAAGCTAAGAGAAGGGTGGTAGCTGAATTACAACAACAGGTAAGGGGATTACAAGCGGTATTCTATGTTAAACTAAAAATTGTTAATTGGTTTTACGACAAACTTATTTACTCGAGGGCAGAATGGTTTGTCTGCATGTGTTAGATGGTTCACATAGGGGTAATAATCTGTGGTCAGTTATAGACGCAGTTCAATTTTAACCTTGTCTAGCTGCAAAAGTAGTTAGAAAAGGTCACTGATAATGTCGCCTTGTAAGTTGGTCTACAGCTATTGGCTGTTTTAATTGTCTGGGAAGCCCCCAAAGATTTGAATCGGTCTCGAATCAAGTGAATAAAAAGCAGATTTCACCCGTTTTGAAAAGCAAAATTACTACTGAAAGTAGTTCATTTTCAAAGTCAGATTTCAAACATCGAGTCATTTTAACCGGGTTAAATGATAACATAAACTCTATTTTTCGAATGGATCAATTTAATCATCACTAGTTCTTCAACAGATGAGTTTCATTTTGATAGTGACTGCCATATAAAGATGAAAATACTTGGTGTACTAAATCTCATGCTTTTCAAACAAGAATTAAACGTTTACATCATATTTATCTTCAAAATTCAGGTGACAATCCTATTGAATGAAAGTTAAGCAAAACACAGTATTTTAAAAACCGACAGTAATAACCGGTACGTTCGGGGTGCGGTGTTTCAACTGCATTGGGGTTAGTCAAGCCTTATCTGATGAGTTTTACCACCAGTTATCTGTTCTTCTCCAGAAAGTGCGTTCGACAGATATTGTAGTACTAGCCGGTGACTTGAATGCTCAGGTCGGGCGTCTAGGCTCAGAAGAGAGTCGTTTAGGTGACCGATAGGGACACGTTGGTCGCAGGTCAGATAACGGGGACCGTCTACTGCAACTGCACAGACCACAACCTGTTTCTGGCCAGCACTAACTTTCGGCACAGTCATCGCCGATGCGCCACCTGGCATCCTCCCTCTGCATCTCAAGCCTGGACTCAGATTGATCACATCGCGATCAGCTACCGCTGGCGTGGTTGTGTACAAGACTGCCGCTCCTTTAGGAGTACCTATCTGGACTCTGACCATGCCTTGGTCTGCGCCAATCTTGCCCTATATAAAAACACCTCAGGCTGAGTGAGGGCATACAACCACCTCTCTCCATTGTTCCATTCGAGCAGTGGGGTTAGACAGGGATGCCCATTCTCACCATTCCTCTTCAACTTTGCCATCGATGACATTCTGGAAACAGCTCTGATGAATGTAAGTAATGGTGGTGTGGATCTGTTGCCTGGAGAAAGACTTCTCGACCTTGAGTATGCTGACGATATTGTCTTACTGTGCGATAATGCCCAAGGCATGCAATCCGCACTTAATCAGTTGGCAATCAGTGTCCGTAGGTATAGTATGTGCTTTGCACCTTCGAAGTGCAAAGTACTTCTACAGGACTGGCAGGATTGTAATCCTGTACTCACCGTGGATGGTGAGCAGATAGAAGTAGTCGAGAAGTTCGCGTATCTAGGTTGCTGCATAAGTGCTGGTGGTGGCGTGAGTGATGAGATCAATGCATGTATAGTGAAAGCCAGAGCGGCTTATGCCAATCTGAGCCATCTTTGACGCCTTCGTGATGTTAGTCTGGCTGTCAAAGGTCGGATCTACAACGCGTCGGTGAGAGCAGTTTCGCTCTATGCTTGTGAAACATGGCCTCTCTGAGTTGAGGACGTTAGACGACTCTCTGTGTTCGACCATCGCTGTATCCGAAGGATTGCTGACATTCAGTGGCAACACCATGTCAGTAATGCAGAGGTTCGGCATCGTGTGTTCGGGCACAGAGATGATAATTCAATTGGTGTTACCATCTTGAAACACCGACTTCGGTGGCTTGGACATGTTCTCCGAATGTCGTCCCATAGAATTCCACGTCGTGCATTATTTGCCGACTCTGGGACTGGTTGGAAGAAGCGGAGAGGTGGTCAGTGCATGACATGGTGTCGTGGTATGAAAGAAAGCTGCAAAGGACTGGCTTCTATTGGTCCTTCACAACTCCCTGGTTGGGGTCTGAGAGATGGTGCTACACAGTGGCTAGAGACGTTATCAGATATGGCTCAGAATAGAAGCCAGTGGCGATCCTGCTGTAACCTTCTTTTACTTTCTTCATAAAAAGTGGTTGTGTTTCCCTTATCTGAAAGATTTCTTCTGATTGTACCTTTCCGTTCCCTCATTTCTACCATACTACCTTACATCAATCTCCTCGTTATTGTTCTCTTTCTTTTGCTGTCCTTAGCTTTTTTTCTATTTCTCTTCGAATTCTCATTGTTTTGTGTGGCGCATATATATTGGCACTCTCTTGTACCAATATTTATGTGTTCAAATAAATAAATAAATATCTGATGAGGTCGATTGGCTTTTCTGAAAGTAGCTCCCTATTGTCAAGGCCCACAAACTCACCGCGTGGATGTGATTTCTTGGGGAAATCGATACCCTCAAGTCTTGGCGCGTGAGCGTCGCACCAGGGGGCATTTATGCGTTACACGCATACCGGTAAAACAAGATTTCACTCATGCATCCCATGGTATACATATAGGTATATTTACATACCTGAATAGGTGGACACCGCTCCCATCGAACGTATTTGCTACAGCTGACTCTCACGCACCACATGCATATCACTGGTACACAGGCTTTCGTACATATATTTCATGACATACATATAAGCATGAGTAGTTTTCAGGGAAGGTTGGTGATTACCTCTCCCTAGTATTCGCTACCATATTTTCATATTGTCTTCAACCTGAAGGTTTAGGCCGTTGATCTAGGGCATACATTTTCCAGCTTACGTTCCTTGTGCTAACTGGAGCACGTACAATTTACGTAAACCTACATACACAAACCCAAGGTCCTAGGGCGAAGTCGTACTGCCGGCTGTACAGAGGTGTGACGGCAGTAAGGTATTTCCTTCAGACAATCAGCCTAACAGCGATGCTAACTTCCCACAACGAAGGGTGATGTTAGAAAAAATCGACCCTAAAAATACACACCTCACCTTATCCTGCGGATATCCGTCTCCGGCGGTTAGGTTCCAACAAGTACGGAGCTAATACGAAAACTACTCACAATAAAGTCGTGTTTGACCAGCCTCAAATAGTTGTCCCTTGGTCACGCTCTCAGGTAATTAAGACCACCTCTAACCCAATTTACTTTTCAGGTATCTTTAGAAGAACCCTCCCGCAGTGTGGGCGACCGGGAAGTGATGACCGCCCTCATATTTCTGTAATGAACAGAACACGGGTGGGGACAATCGAATGTATTTAACAAAAAATTACAGGACTTGTTAATAAAATCTAACAACCATAAAATAAATGCTTAATTTGCAAAATGTCCACCAGTTGTCTCAAAATGACTCAGACTTGATTGTTCTTGCATTTTCATACATATTGCATTATGTTTCCATCCTTTACTGTTCGATCCCCTTGCCTCTCTGCTGCCAGACCTGTTCATGACTAACATCATATACTACTTATGTCAACATAAGTAGCACACACCACACCTCTAACAACACTCAAGATCACTTTATTCATAATTAATCTCCCTCTTCAATCCCTATTATTCCTCCTACCTCGACTTTCAACTCTAAAATCCCCCTTTTGACTTCCTCCTCAAGTGTCACCATGGCCAACGATTCAAGTACGCAAAACACTGTCCCAGGTCTTCTGAACCCTCGTTTTAAACTACACATTGAAACCTTCAACGTACGTATCCTACGTCAATTCAGTCAGCAGGCCTCCTTGGCTAAAACCCTAGAAGCTCGTACTATTGGTGTATGCTGTGTCTCCGAAACACACATACAGGATCCTAGTGTGGTCATTCACTTAACCTCACCTCGGCAAAACGGAGAGCCGGCGAGATACACCCTCCATGTATCTGGCGACCCGATGGCTAGTTCTCGTGGGCTGGTGGATGTAGGCACAGCACTAAGTACGAGGGCAGAGCAATCGCTATTAGGATGGATCCCTGTTAACAGTCGCTTATGTACTGTTCAGCTAAACGGCTCCGTAAGAACTCGGAAGGATATGGACACATGTCGTTGCCTTTTCGTCGTTTCTGCCTACGCTGCCACTTACTGCATCTCGAATGAAGTGGAAGATGACTTTTACAGAAAGCTTTCTGAACTTCAGAAAGCTAAACGCAGCAGCGACATCTAGTGATTTAAACTAAAGGGTCATGAAAAACCAGTAATTTCTACCAAGTCTATTGAACTGATAGATTCTCTTAAGTTAATCTTATCAGGCTCTGAACACGATAAGGAGCGTAAACAAATCAGATCTAGGTCAACCAAAAGTCTAAGGAACGACCGTGAGCAGTGTTGGGCAACGACTGTAGGTAACACTAGACAACTTTTCAGAGTAATAAACGAAACTGGAATTAAAAAGTCAAGTGTAAGTGGGACGATATCAGAAAAAGATGACACCCTTATCTGCTCTCAGCCAATAAAGTCTCTTTAACTTTTCTCCAAACTACGCCATTAATAACATGAAAAAAGCAGTTTTGAACCTATATTTATCTATTTATTTTGTTATTTATTTATTTATCTACTATTTATTTGAACACACAGATAATGGTACAAGGGGGCACCAGATACATATGCGCCACACAAATCTCATTTGACTTGTATGAGGGTTGTGATACTGCTCGGGTGCCCAAACCGGAGCAGGTGATCTTCTTAGGGGGCCACACTCGGAGCCTTCGATGTAAAGGTCTGATCCACAAGGTAGTGGAGCATCTTAAGGAGATGCAGTCCCATGGTAGCCGGTGACCAATAATTAGTTCATACTCCATTTTTTCCTTCAGGATACTAGAGCCCATGTGCACCATTGGTTTGGAATCAGGGTTTTCCAACTCCCCTAGGAGGACTCGGCATGTCCACCAACCCGGTTAAAGAGCCGGACATTCGCTTTTCGTCCTTTCAATTTCGTAAACAACACCCCCATCGCGAGAAGGCAATGAGTAGAACTTCCCTGGCAGCAGTTGTATGCACATGGCCATTTGTAAACACGTATATTGCAAGGTTATGTCGTTCGTTGTCAGGTCTGTGTGGTGGCAACGATGATAAAATGCAGTCTTTTGGTAGCACTGTGCAACAATGCCAGGGTGTTCGGGATACGTTTCTCCCCCCCTTTAAATGCAAATTGTTGCTTCAGGACTGGCCTGCGTCAACCAATTCTTTCTCCCTTTATCATATCCTTTTATGAGATTTTTTGTAACTACCATTGAGTTAACTGCTTCTATAAATTTGGTGTTCATCTTTTTGTGCTAATAAACTGTGGTAACATGAACCGATGCATGTATGTGCCTGGTCATACGTTGTAGCTAAGTGACTGGTTATCTGGTCCTTCGGTTCTCATTATTTTTAATCAAACCCAACCTTGTTTTTCCAGGAAACTGTTCGAATTTCTGTTCCTGTTGAGTGTCGGGGTTATTTAATTGGTCGGAAAGGGGAGCGATTACAAGAACTGGAGTCATCTACGATGACACGGATTAGCATTCCACCTCACAATGCGCTTGATCCAAATGTCGTCATTGTTACAGGTCCCAGAAGAGGGATTTTAGAAGCAGAAGGCCTAATATATGAAATTGTTCACAAACAATCCCAACAAGCGTTTGAACGGCTTTCGATCCCAAAAATTTATCATCCTTTTATATGTGGGCCGTAAGTTCATACTCATTACTATGTTTAACCCGAATGGATTTTGACAAAAGTCTTACTTTATAGGAACAACCAGACTGTAAATGATCTGAAGTCTCGAACTGACACTAAAATCAACATTCCTCCTCCAAATGTATCAGTCGATGAAATAGCAGTTTCTGGCAGGCGCGAAGGTGTTGCACAAGCGGTTAAAGAGATTCAAGCAATATATAATGAACGGGTAAGTTTTTTTAAGCATATGAGAGTATACTGATTCAGTATATCTGGTTTTATGTAGTCTCAAAAATATTTTTTTTTCTTGAACGTGCATGTTACTACCCTTTTTTGTTTCAAAACTTTCTTCCCAATGAATTCGTACATAATTTCGTACAAATTCTGAAACTAAGAGTATGAAACATTCCGAGCACCAAGTTGATTATTAACAATATTTTTCCTCACATTTGATGACACTGTTAATTCGATTTTGTAAAATTTTATATTTTATTTTTCCAGCTTGAAACTACAAAGACAATTACTGTTAAGGTTGCTAGATCACAGCATCGTATCATATTCGGTCAGCGCGGTTCTGGAATCGCAGATATTCTAGCTCAAACTGGTGTTTCCGTTGAACTGCCAGTGGATGATGGGAATGAGGAGATTGTTTTGCGAGGAAAACCCGAAGATCTTGGACGTGCACTTACAATGGTTTATGAACGGGCTCAAAGCACCATGACAGAAGAAATTGAAGCACCTAATCGCTTTCACAGACTTTTAATTGGAAGAGGAGGTTCTAAATTAACAGAATTACTGGAAGGATACAAACGAGTGAGTTTCATCCATGTTTCGGCTAAGAATTCAAGATACTTCCACTTAGTTGATTATAATTTGACTTTTAGACCTCTACTACGATATACAGTAACGCTCGATCTGTTCAATTCACACTTAGCCAATTAACCATTAGAATAAACAAGAGATGTTCTGCTTTACATTTGCAAAACGTAGCCTTTCAAAGTTAGGAATGCTTAGTGGCCCTCTTTCCGATCTTCGCGGTCAGGAAAGGACGGCGCTCATCCGACGCCAACATCATATAGATAATGCGGAGGTCCGGAAACATGTTTAAACATAGCGGAGATGGTACTTACAGATTGTTGACCTACATCTTTTAACACGCTCAAGTTCTCATGTATATTTCGTAGTACCCATGTTTTGGTCTTAAAAATTGGTGTTATTTAGAATTAGTGGCTATGGTGACAGTATGTATTCATATTCTACAAATAATCACTTACAAACTACTAGATCTTGATACTGACTAAGAAGTTAATGATAATAACTTACTCGCATAAACACTTAAGTATCTAATTTGGGATCGTTCGATTACATCACCTTGGTTTAAAAGAGCGAAAGGAGAGAAAATTCGTTTATCATTAGACTCTTATAAATGGGTTCTCTGTGGCATTTATAAGTAAAACAGCAAACATCCTACCTAAACATGTAACTCATAAGTGGAAGTTCAAAAGTGTGTGAGCTACTAGCCAAGGATGCAAGAAGAAAAGTGCTTATGGAGGATGAAATCTCAAATTATTATAATGATGTCTCAGGGGTAGTGAAACATGTTACTGTTCTTCATGTATGGTTACAGTTAACAATTGTCTATTAATGTGGAGATATTCGCACGTTAGTATGTTTCAACTAACATGATACAACTAATTGTCATGCCGTCAGTATTGAGGTGGAGGTTGGAAACGTGAGTGAAATGCTGTGTAAAATGAATGTGGCGTGCTGTTTCTGAATAGCAGTCTTCCTTTCCTTTCCTTTCCCGATTTCCTTGACTATGAGTTGTGAAGACGAAATCATTTAAAATGATGCCTTGTCTTGTATTGCTAATACTTGCACTAGAAGAAAACACTGTTAACGCTGTATTATTCGTGTTTTACTTATCGTATATGGAAGGAATGGAAAGAATACACTCTTGCATCAATCTAAGAAAGTCAAATATAGGAATTACTCAGAAGAAAATATCCGAAATCTGAAAAACATGTTTCATACGACTAACTTGGGAATTATTTACAGATGACTCACTGGAAAACACTACTGATGTTATCACGTGTTACCTTAAATTCTGTTTTGATATTTGTTGTCCCACTGAAACCATTTTTGTAAGTTTTGATCGACTTACATCTTCACAACTAAAACGACCACGGAGAGTAAAAGAAAGAATGTACAATGAGAAAGACTATTGAAGTTCGTAAGCTAAATGGTCTGATAAACCTAGAGATTAGACGTCTCAATTCTATGTTTACTCAAAAACTCCTGTCTTGCAAAAACTCTCCAAGTATGTGGGAACTCTTTAAAGAACTTACAGGTGACAGGCACATTAGAAGCGATAACCAGCTGAATGTTTGTGACTTACATAAGTCTTTTGTACGTCAGTCATCTGATGTAATGCTCCCTATATCCACAAGTTCAACTAATACTTGTGTGTCCGAAAATGTCTCTAGTCCTTTAATTCATCCTGATGTTTAGGATCTGATGATATTCCAAAACTCCTTCTCAAAAAGTGTGCTGACTTTCTATGTTGTCCATTCACGAGTATTTTAACAGATCCTTCTCAACTAATCTCATACCGAAAATGTGGAGAAGGATAAAGATAATCCCTATACCTAAGAAAGTATCTGGTGAGTGTGTTTTTTTTGTAAAAGAAACTTGGTAAAATACATTGTGCTGAGAATTCTATATTGTACCAAAATATAATATTGAATGAAGCCATATTAAAAGAAACACTGCTATATTGGGACTCAATCGTTTGCTACGTTTCGATGTTAAAACACCCATGGTTTTCTAGCCTCAACCTCACTCCACATTATATGGGTTTAAGAAGTTTGCTGTTATCATTAGTTCTCTCACTTAAGGCATGTCTCAAAACCACGTGCACAAACCTTTGATTAGTTGAATAATAATGTCATGCATATTGTATAATCAGCTTGTACACTTTTTATTTCTAAAACATTATCTACTAATAGTAATTTTTAAATATTTCTCCATCTTTCCTATTTTGGGCAAAAATTGCTATAAGGCTATATTTTTATCTACAGTAAAATAGATAATCATTATCCGTTTATTAGACCTGCTAATACACTTTGTACATGTATAGGTTCAAGTAAGCTTTGGAGATAACACCGACAGAATCTCTGTTGAAGGTCCTTGTGAAGAAGTCGAAGTTATTGTCGAGCGCTTAAAAAACCGCTTAGCAGAACTACAAGCCACTGTTGCTATGGCGGCAGTAAAAGTAGATCCCAAGTACTACCGACACATAATTGGTAAACAAGGAGCTACCATTGGTCGTTTGCGTGACTATAAAGTACGCGTTAAACTCCCTGATTCAGATCGAGGTGATGCTTTCTCTGATGAAATAGTGATTGAAGGCGATCCAGTTGGAGTTGAAAAGGCAAAGCTTGAAATTCAGCAATTGGTGGAGAGACTGGTACGTATTTTCTTATTTTTAGAAATATTATGTTTGTTTTTCACACAGCTTCATACACATACAGTGAATATAAGTCCAATTCATTTTTGTGTATCTGGTTTTGGCTTTTTCAAGAGGAGAAAGTCTAATTTTGACTAGAAGTTTTTATGAAATTCTCAAAGACGGTTATGGGGATACTTATTTTATATAAATGTGTGTACAACGCTCTTGGAAAGTGGAGGGATCAGAATGATTTATTAAAACGCCATGAAAATAGAGAACATAAAGTATGGAGGGGATTCAGTATAGAGAACTAATTTAAAATAAAATAAAAAATTAGTTTTTGGTGGAGTTTTGTTCTCTGAGCTGGATGGTTTGGTCGTGGAGCTTTCATCGTTCTTCTGAACGACATCATCAGCACAAACTTCAGATAGAAGTGAAGTGTTTGAATTTCTCCATATGTGTCTCAAAGCTTGTTCTGTTGATTGGTTCTTATTGACCTTAAATTTGTCGTTGTTTACTTCTTTGTTTTGGTTGTGTCTCCCATTGTTTTGATTTTTGTTCTTATGTTTGTGCATGATTTTTCTGATTGGTTGATAAATTGGATTGATTTCAATATGCTTGTTGATTGCTGATTGACCTGAGTGCCAGGCTTCTAAAAATTCTCTGGTGTTTTTGGAGTTTCCTCTGTCTAAGATTTCCACATTTTTCCAATCGAATGAGTGTCCGCAGTTGTCCACGTGTATTGATATAAGTGAAGAGATATCATGCCGTTTGACTGCTAATTGATGTTCATGTAGGCGAAGGTGAAGGGGGCGTCCACTTTGTCCGATGTAATGTTTTTCGCAGTTGGCACAATTTATCTTGTAGATGATGTTTGATTTGTTTTCCTTTGTTATTTCATCTTTTGGTTTGCATAAGATTGATTGTAGTGATTTTGTCGGTTTGTGTGCCACACCTATTCCGAAGGTTTTCAGCAGTCTCGTCGCGATTTCTGATATTCCTTGTATATATGGTAGGGTGATCCTTTTGTTGATTTTTGTGCTTGACTTGAGTTCTAATGCTGCGTGCGGTTGGTATTTTTTGATGAAGTTGATGGGGTATCCGTTCTTCTGAAATACATCCTTTAGGTATTTCTCTTCATTTCTTCGTGCTGCCAGTGTGCTGCAGTGTGTCCTCGCCCTCTTGAACAAATTGTGTACGCAGTTGATTTCGTGAGCTCTGGGATCAAATTCTCAACTACAATAGCAACAACCCCGGAGCCTTCGATGTAAAGGTCTGATCCACAAGGTAGTGGAGCATCTTAAGGAGATGCAGTCCCATGGTAGCCGGTGACCAATAATTAGTTCATACTCCATTTTTTCCTTCAGGATACTAGAGCCCATGTGCACCATTGGTTTGGAATCAGGGTTTTCCAACTCCCCTAGGAGGACTCGGCATGTCCACCAACCCGGTTAAAGAGCCGGACATTCGCTTTTCGTCCTTTCAATTTCGTAAACAACACCCCCATCGCGAGAAGGCAATGAGTAGGACTTCCCTGGCAGAGGCTATATACGCGTGGCCATGTAAGAGCATTTTTCGAGGGAGAGCGGACTCTCCTCTCTCTCGACCGTGCCAGGGTATTTGGGGGCGTGAATTAGGAAAGATGAACATGTCATTAAGAATGTTTCGCAGTAAGAGGCAGTTTAGGGCCTATATGCATACAAAGTTCATTATGGTGTTTATGAAGCAAACATGTAAACATTTTGTGCAGTTTCGTCATACTTTGGCATACCTTTCTTTAAGTATTTGTCCACTGCTCAATTCTGCCTTAATTAGATTTACCACTTGACCATTATTGGTCTGTTCTCAATATATATCGTTAGAACTTGATGTATCTAAGTCGATGTAATAATGTTTCATATCTTTTGTTGTTCGTTACGTGCTATTTTCACAAACTAACGTCTCATTCAGTTATTTACGAATCCTTTTTTTCTATGAAAAGGAACTAAGGATTGTTTCATCGTTTATATTGTTTTAGGAGAATGAGAAATGCAAAGATATGATTATTGATCCTCATATCCAGAATTTGTTACGTTCAACCATAAATGGAACTTCTTATATTCGTACCATTTACGAAACATTCCCTCAAGTACGTATTATATGGCCTGAAAGTGATGCAAATGATTCCATGTTTGAAGAAAATCCAACTAAAAGTATTGTTCAACTAAGAGGTGATCGTCAGCAAGTCGATGCAGCAAGTGAAAAGTTAAACAAACTTATTAAATTAGTGAAAGAGGAGAACTATAGACAAGAGGTAGGGTTGAATATCAATGTTTATGCATTTAATTAGAAGTTTTCTTTTGATGGTATCAATATCTAAAATCATTCATCAACATATTGATTAGTGCAATCGAATGTCCTAAGTGTGATTCTTTGTAGCGGGGTCGTGGATGCGCACTGCTGAGAAATCTCAAACTTTGACTGATCAGCTGTCCCGTGCTTCCAGGTCTTCAATAATATTCTAGCTAATATCAGTTCGTGATCTGATCTATGAAAGTGATAAACTGTGTTGGATGTGTTTATTCAGCTGACCAATGTTTGTTTAACCCCCTTAGTGTTGATTGAATTTTCTCGAACAAGTTGAAGTGTAGCCGCTATTTGAGAGGACTTAACTTTGAGGCATGTAAAGTAGTGTTTAAATCCGTAATTCGGTGTTTTAAAAGAAAATACGCAAACATATGAACCACTCACTCAGTTCAGTTACCAAGTGCAAAATAATTGTAAATATGCAGTGAATCCGTAATGATTATTTGTCATTCTTCTCTCGCATAAAGTGTCTTATTTGGACATTGAACAAAAGTTTTTAATGTCTCTCTTATGGACGAGGAAGACTTGGTAAACAATTGTGTAAATTATCAATCGTTTTTATCCACATCCACTGTTTTCTTCACTTTATTGAAAATGATTTCTTCCAATGTCTTTAATTTCAAAAGCTGTACAATCGTATATCGATGATATAAATAATGTGATGAACAGGCTGGGACACAGACAAGAAGTTACTCAGGTGGTCTTTGGAAATCCTGGTGTATATATGTATATATATATATATTTATTTATTTATTACTTCTAATCTACAGATATATATTTTCAAAGAGGTACGGTCTAGTTTTCTTGGACGTGAATATCCAAGAGTGCGTAAAATTCTTGAAGATACACAAACACGTCTGCAAAATCCTAATGTTGGTTCTAATCCTGAAATTTTCACTGTAATTGGACGAGAGGAAAATGTGCGCAGGGCAATTGAACAGTTAGAAGAATTACAAAAGAAACTGGTTCGTTAACCTTTTTTTTCAAACATTGATAAATTGATAGTCTCACCGTATGAATTCAATGTTTAGGAAAAATCGCCTGTTTATTGTGTTTGATAAATTGAATTATTTTTTCTTATGTATGCTCCAGTGCTAGTAAAATTATCATAGTACTCTACGGTTGATATTCTAATCATACCTCAATTTTATCTTATTTAGTAGTATTAAATTAAAAGTTTTGGGTATGATAGACATATTCACTTTAAATACTGTCCCTGTAAGTTTTGACATTTTTGCCAGTATTATTTAGCAAACGTGCTCTGATAGTTTTGTACGGATTTATCCACAGTAAATATTATTTCCACAAATTGCATACGATTCTCTGACATGAAAACACTTGTGTTATATTCGAATTGGAAAAGGAGTTCTTCTTATAAATCTTGTAAAAATTTAAACTTCAAATAAATTGCTTGATGAATGCGAATCCATCTCCAGCTTTAAAAAAGTGTATTGTAGTAAGGACTTTGCCTGATCTATTTCTCCAGAAAGGCATTCTTCGTTTCAAACAGCCTAGAATGTGGTCTATAAACATATTCATTTCAAATCATTGTTAGAAAATAAATGGAATTTGACTAGGAGTGGAATCGGGGACGCACATTTCGTTCTATTTGAGACTCATCAGCTGGATGTGGCTGCATCCTAGAGTTAATGTTCACTCCGGGACTCAAAATGATTGTCGTTTGCTTTAAATGCCATCGCTTTATCCACTTAGCTACTGAATCTCGATCGCCATTCACTTTTGCAACTGATATGAGTTTTAATTCATTTTGAAATGGTTTAAATTATCCCGTTGTTGATATATTTTTGGTTGAAATTTGATCAGTCTTGGTCGGAATTTGTGCATCCTATGCGGATTATTAACCAAGACTGATTGAATTTCAGTTAAATATCAACAACGGGACAATTCGACTTATTAATTTATGTTATTATTTCATGAATAATCTTACCCCCATAACTAGTAGTTGCAGTGAATTTTTCACTCATTATCCACTCTAGTCTATTATCAATATTATTATTATTATTATTATTATTATTATTATTATTATTAATACTGTTAGTGTTTTATGTAGGGTTAGTTGATTATATTTGTCAGTTTCTCCGTCCTTTTGGACTTGATTCTCGTTGTTGGTCATATTAAAACCGATCCTTCTGGATCTCTCTCTATCAACCCTTCGATAAACACATACGCACGAGCTACGCTCGTAAAACCAAATGATTTTATAATGTATTCAGACTAAAGACTGTGGTTAATAAGCCTGTTGTTAAATATCTTCGAAGGAACATAAGAATTACCTTTAAAGATTTGCACCACCGACTTCAATAAGACATCTGATGAAAACCGGGATGCATTGAAAAGCCGTTTGTCCATGTTCGTAAACTTAAGCATCTTATCGCACGTAACTGAAACTTATTGCCAATCCGAATTTATAAAGTAAATATAATGTGGATGTTTATGATGCAGGTACAAACGCACCAAAACATAATCCATCGGAATTCCAATAGATGATATGAAAGAGTAAAAAATATTTCATAATACAGCCATGAAATATTTGTATAAATTCTATTTCCTATCTTGTACATTTGTTAATTTTGTCTGTTTGTCTTATATATATTTCTTATTTATCTCGAAGGCTACTGTTAAAGAAGTAACTGTTTCTATACCATCAGCTTTGACAACTAAATTCGCTGGAGATCAAGCTCCAAGTTTAAGGTCAATTTGTGAACAGTGTGAAGGAGTATATATTAGATTTGCAAATAATAATAATAATAAAAATACTAAAGGACAATCAAATAAATTAAGTCATATGGAGATCATTGTACTTGGACCAGAAAAAGAAGTTCAACAAGCATGTGCGTTGTTAGATCAACTCAACGCAAGAGTATCACAATTATGTGCTGAGGTAAGCTTGAAACAGCAAAATAATGTTCATATCTCATTAAACGAAAAAATATTAAACTTATGATAAATATGTAATTTCAATTAACCAATGGGAAGGAAAATAAAGAAACACAGACATAATAGTAATGACGCACGATACGGTTAGTAAATACCACGATGCTATGAAAAAAAATCATCAACAATGAGCTGAAATAAGCGATCACGGAACCATAGAAAAACTATGTACAAAATCTTAATGAAAACAACAAGCATACACGAAAATGATATTCCCCAAAAACCGTTCGCCAGATAATAATGATATTGTTCAATAGCTGGAAAAGTTTATAGTTGATATTGGTAGATGTGTTGATGAGTGTTGTTGTTGAATGTTTTTCTTGTGATAATGGTTCTGAAGAGATGGGATAGTATATAGTTGATGTTTTGACGTGAATGTGGGTAAATTGTTGTGATGGTGATTGTTGTTTCGGGTTGCTGTTGTGTGTTTAGAATAGTTGATCGTTGGATGGATTGATGTATGGATGTGTGTATGAATTGGTGTACTTAATCGTGCACGATGTATTTGCTGTTTGTATGGAGTTGATGTAAGTAGAGTGATATAAATTTGTATTTGTGAGTATGAGTAAAATGAGAATGGTTGATTGATAGTAGAGAGTGTCAATGCACCTTGATGTTGTCGATCGACTGATCGTACGATATCGGTGTAATTGTGACAGGGTATTTATAATGCAGAGGATGTTATTGATCTTTCTGCGAACCCACTGTCTAAAATTGATGTTATTTTGGGGTGCTGAAGTTGATATGATTTCGGCCTTACCCGTTCGCACACATTCCATGTTCACCGTTAGTTATAGAAAACTGTGATCGTGTTGACAAACCGTGTGCGAAACATGTTTATGTTTCCTGTGTGAGACGTTTGTGATGGACTTGATTGTTGTTGTTATAGTTATATCGTATGACGAGTTTGTTGATGTTGATGTGAAGAGATTGACTGTCGATCTGATTGATTGATTGAATGAATGAATGAATGAATGAATGAATGAATGTTAGGTGGATTGATGGTTGGCTGTATGGCTGAATGGATGTATTTTCTGTTTGTATGGAGTTGATGTAAGTGGAGTGATATAAATTTGTATTTGTGAGTATGAGTAAAATGAGAATGGTTGATTGATAGTAGACAGTGTCAATGCACCTTGATGTTGTCGATCGACTGATCGTACGATATCGGTGTAATTGTGACAGGGTATTTATAATGCAGAGGATGTTATTGATCTTTCTGCGAACCCACTGTCTAAAATTGATGTTATTTTGGGGTGCTGAAGTTGATATGATTTCGGCCTTACCCGTTCGCACACATTCCATGTTCACCGTTAGTTATAGAAAACTGTGATCGTGTTGACAAACCGTGTGCGAAACATGTTTATGTTTCCTGTGTGAGACGTTTGTGACGGACTTGATTGTTGTTGTTATAGTTATATCGTATGACGAGTTTGTTGATGTTGATGTGAAGAGATTGACTGTCGATCTGATAGATTGATTGAATGAATGAATGAATGAATGTTAGGTGGATGGATGGTTGGCTGTATGGCTGAATGGATGTATTTTCTGTTTGTATGGAGTTGATGTAAGTAGAGTGATATAAATTTGTATTTGTGACTATGAGTAAAATGAGAATGGTTGATTGATAGTAGAGAGTGTCAATGCACCTTGATGTTGTCGATCGACTGATCGTACGATATCGGTGTAATTGTGACAGGGTATTTATAATGCAGAGGATGTTATTGATCTTTCTGCGAACCCACTGTCTAAAATTGATGTTATTTTGGGGTGCTGAAGTTGATATGATTTCGGCCTTACCCGTTCGCACACATTCCATGTTCACCGTTAGTTATAGAAAACTGTGATCGTGTTGACAAACCGTGTGCGAAACATGTTTATGTTTCCTGTGTGAGACGTTTGTGATGGACTTGATTGTTGTTGTTATAGTTATATCGTATGATGAGTTTGTTGATGTTGATGTGAAGAGATTGACTGTCGATCTGATTGATTGATTGATTGATTGAATGAATGAATGAATGAATGGTGGATTGATGGATGGATGGATGAATGGCTGGATGTCTTGGTAGATGTGTTGATGAAGGTTGTTGTTGAATGTTTTTTTTGTGATATTGATTCTGAAGAGATGGGATAGTATATAGTTGATGTTTTGACGTGAATGTGGGTAAATTGTTGTGATGGTGATTGTTGTTTCGGGTTGCTGTTGTGTGTTTAGAATAGTTGATCGTTGGATGGATTGATGTATGGATGTGTGTATGAATTGGTGTACTTAATCGTGCACGATATATTTGCTGTTTGTATGGAGTTGATGTAAGTAGAGTGATATAAATTTGTATTTGTGAGTATGAGTAAAATGAGAATGGTTGATTGATAGTAGAGAGTGTCAATGCACCTTGATGTTGTCGATCGACTGATCGTACGATATCGGTGTAATTGTGACAGGGTATTTATAATGCAGAGGATGTTATTGATCTTTCTGCGAACCCACTGTCTAAAATTGATGTTATTTTGGGGTGCTGAAGTTGATATGATTTCGGCCTTACCCGTTCGCACACATTCCATGTTCACCGTTAGTTATAGAAAACTGTGATCGTGTTGACAAACCGTGTGCGAAACATGTTTATGTTTCCTGTGTGAGACGTTTGTGATGGACTTGATTGTTGTTGTTATAGTTATATCGTATGATGAGTTTGTTGATGTTGATGTGAAGAGATTGACTGTCGATCTGATTGATTGATTGATTGATTGATTGATTGATTGATAGAATGAACGAATGAATGAATGAATGAATGTTAGGTGGATTGATGGTTGGCTGTATGGCTGAATGGATGTATTTTCTGTTTGTATGGAGTTGATGTAAGTGGAGTGATATAAATTTGTATTTGTGAGTATGAGTAAAATGAGAATGGTTGATTGATAGTAGACAGTGTCAATGCACCTTGATGTTGTCGATCGACTGATCGTACGATATCGGTGTAATTGTGACAGGGTATTTATAATGCAGAGGATGTTATTGATCTTTCTGCGAACCCACTGTCTAAAATTGATGTTATTTTGGGGTGCTGAAGTTGATATGATTTCGGCCTTACCCGTTCGCACACATTCCATGTTCACCGTTAGTTATAGAAAACTGTGATCGTGTTGACAAACCGTGTGCGAAACATGTTTATGTTTCCTGTGTGAGACGTTTGTGATGGACTTGATTGTTGTTGTTATAGTTATATCGTATGACGAGTTTGTTGATGTTGATGTGAAGAGATTGACTGTCGATCTGATTGATTGATTGAATGAATGAATGAATGAATGAATGAATGTTAGGTGGATTGATGGTTGGCTGTATGGCTGAATGGATGTATTTTCTGTTTGTATGGAGTTGATGTAAGTGGAGTGATATAAATTTGTATTTGTGAGTATGAGTAAAATGAGAATGGTTGATTGATAGTAGACAGTGTCAATGCACCTTGATGTTGTCGATCGACTGATCGTACGATATCGGTGTAATTGTGACAGGGTATTTATAATGCAGAGGATGTTATTGATCTTTCTGCGAACCCACTGTCTAAAATTGATGTTATTTTGGGGTGCTGAAGTTGATATGATTTCGGCCTTACCCGTTCGCACACATTCCATGTTCACCGTTAGTTATAGAAAACTGTGATCGTGTTGACAAACCGTGTGCGAAACATGTTTATGTTTCCTGTGTGAGACGTTTGTGACGGACTTGATTGTTGTTGTTATAGTTATATCGTATGACGAGTTTGTTGATGTTGATGTGAAGAGATTGACTGTCGATCTGATAGATTGAATGAATGAATGAATGAATGAATGAATGAGCGAACGAACGAATGAATGAATGAATGAATGAATGTTAGGTGGATTGATGGTTGGCTGTATGTCTGAATGGATGTATTTTCTGTTTGTATGGAGTTGATGTAAGTGGTGTGATATAAATTTGTATTTGTGAGTATGAGTAAAATGAGAATGGTTGATTGATAGTAGAGAGTGTCAATGCACCTTGATGTTGTCGATCGACTGATCGTACGATATCGGTGTAATTGTGACAGGGTATTTATAATGCAGAGGATGTTATTGATCTTTCTGCGAACCCACTGTCTAAAATTGATGTTATTTTGGGGTGCTGAAGTTGATATGATTTCGGCCTTACCCGTTCGCACACATTCCATGTTCACCGTTAGTTATAGAAAACTGTGATCGTGTTGACAAACCGTGTGCGAAACATGTTTATGTTTCCTGTGTGAGACGTTTGTGATGGACTTGATTGTTGTTGTTATAGTTATATCGTATGATGAGTTTGTTGATGTTGATGTGAAGAGATTGACTGTCGATCTGATTGATTGATTGATTGATTGAATGAATGAATGAATGAATGGTGGATTGATGGATGGATGGATGAATGGCTGGATGTCTTGGTAGATGTGTTGATGAAGGTTGTTGTTGAATGTTTTTTTTGTGATATTGATTCTGAAGAGATGGGATAGTATATAGTTGATGTTTTGACGTGAATGTGGGTAAATTGTTGTGATGGTGATTGTTGTTTCGGGTTGCTGTTGTGTGTTTAGAATAGTTGATCGTTGGATGGATTGATGTATGGATGTGTGTATGAATTGGTGTACTTAATCGTGCACGATATATTTGCTGTTTGTATGGAGTTGATGTAAGTAGAGTGATATAAATTTGTATTTGTGAGTATGAGTAAAATGAGAATGGTTGATTGATAGTAGAGAGTGTCAATGCACCTTGATGTTGTCGATCGACTGATCGTACGATATCGGTGTAATTGTGACAGGGTATTTATAATGCAGAGGATGTTATTGATCTTTCTGCGAACCCACTGTCTAAAATTGATGTTATTTTGGGGTGCTGAAGTTGATATGATTTCGGCCTTACCCGTTCGCACACATTCCATGTTCACCGTTAGTTATAGAA